GCTGCTGAATCAGCTGTTTTATCAAAGCAAGTGTGAGGGGAATTCAGGCAAAAGGGCACAGGATCTCAATGAAACTGGGCAGACCAAGCAATATGACAATCCTGAACTGAGCATGGGGACATTCTAGGGTGTCAGGGCAAGCAACTGAAGTGCCATTAAGACCCACCTACAGCACACATGACATAAAGAGTGTCCTTCTGTTGCAAATGACTGGGTGGAACTCAGCTTACACTCTGGAAGATGCATGTCTTTGCGTGGGGAGAAACCCTTTTCTGGTTTCCAGACAGCCCCCCACTTGCTCTGACCTTTGCTGACTTTGCTTCAACCTTAAATTGCCATTCTTAGGGCTGTGGATGTGATTTCCTTCTCACACCTCCCTCCTGCCCCTTCAAGGAGACTACATCTTGACATTCGTCTCTAGAGATGAAAAGGAGCAGCTATGGTTTGTGACTTCTCTAACTTAGTTAGTGGGAACTAGGATTTCTGTTACCTTTCCTACCCCAAGTGTATTTCTCTAATAAACACATTTCTTGTTTTCTTAGGAAAAATGTGTGGAAATTATTCCTTTACAGTGAAGAAAATTTCCTCATATTTTTTTTTCCTGAAACACTAAGGGCTAAATTCACAAGCTAGATTGATCCCATTCCACTGTTTGTGTACTCCAACACATTCTAGGCCCTGTGTAGCTGCTTTGACTCTCTGCTAGAACACAGAAATATGTTTTTTTAGTTCTGGGCCACTGCTACTAGGACCAGTGGATCAAGAAAGCTCACAAATAGCAACTCTGGAGGTCTGATCCCTACCTTGCTCCAAATGGTATGATGAAGCCACTTATTTTTCTTAGTCCCTTCTCTTTTCACCTGTCTCCTTTGTATACTGATGCTGTGCAATCACAACACATATATGAACTTCTCTGCCCCGAGTCACAACACCAACCAGATATAGATTGAGATGAATCCCTGGACTTTAATGCTACCTCTTCAATTTTGTCACACCAGTCTCTGTAATAGGGCTGATAGCAAGCAAGCCAGACTACCCCCGAGGTCAAAGTAGGAGCTCTTAAATTACTGTCAATCTTCCCTTCCAATTATACCATCACTCTTATGCAGGCATAATTTACCAAGCAGGATTTGGGCCAGTATCTCCATCCTAGCTCACAAAGCTATTAAAAAAGTCCTGGTAATAACAGTGGGACATGATATGCAAACATGTCATCTGACCTTATAATAGAAATATGACTTTAAAAGATATAATAAATGCATACCTTTCGATTTCAGCCACCAGGCACTCTTTGTATGTATCTGAATGCAACTACCACTAATTCAAATTTAGAGTACCTTTCAATCCTGTTGCCCTCAGGTGTACAAACGAAGGGTCTAAAGAAAAGATATTAGACTAGAAACCATAACTGACAAAGTCAAAAATAATGATATTTAATTACAATAAATATGAAAAAGAAACATTTGTAAATAAATATGTAAATTAATATGGTTTTAAAATATATAATTATATTAAATATTTAAGTATAAATATAGTTACAGTGACTCAAAAATTAAAGAAGCAAAATTTTAACAAATTAAAAAGTGATATTAAAGATAAATTGCAGGAGTATTCTAAACTGAAACTATCGTGGTTTGGGAGAATCACCATGATCAAAATGAAAATATTACCAAAAATTACTTTTTTATTCAGGATGCTCCCAATACAATTAGAAGAAGAAGATTTTAAGTATTGGCAGGGATTAATTAATAGATTTTGTAATCAAGGTAAAAAAAATCATGAATAAATAAAAGATATTGGTATAAGGCTAAAAAAAATGGAGGTTTAGGTATTCCTAATATAAAAAATTATTATATAGTGAATTAACTAAGATTTATTGGATATATTATATATAACAAAGGAAGGTTAATTTGGTGGGATAGGTAATCCTCAGAAATAAAGGGGATTTTGAAAAATATTTGTTTAATGTAGTAAAAAGAAACATAATAAATCAGGATGAACAACCCTTTTTAAAGAAACATGTTAAATGCCTGGAGCAGATATAAAAAGAAGATATGTCCCTTTACTTCACCACTAAATTAGTGACCGAAATAGACAATTTCCTAGCAAACATGAAGGGTTTAGCTGATTTGTTTAAGGATAAAAAAGTTGCCAGATTGAAGGATTGGATGATAAAAATGAGATCGAAGGATCAGATTATAGTTAAACTTCAAACTAATAAACTATCTTAGTATAATTATATCCAGTTAGATAGCTGAACAAATGAATGGTTGAAGACTAGTGGCAAATGTAGAGAATGTACTAAGTATGAACAATTTCTATCATCATACGAAGACATGGAGAAAGATGCTTTGAGGAAGGGAGTAGTAAGTAGAATTTATAACCTAATTTTGGAACAAGAGGAAAAAGAGACAGAAATAGAAGGTTTGAAATCAATTTGGGAACATGATTTAAAGACAGAAATTAAAACAGAGAATTGGACAAAAATTTGGAAGATGAGAGTTTTAAGATTAATGTTGGTAAGATTAAAGGGAAAAAAATTAAAATTAGTTTAAGGTGGTACATGACTCTGGTGAAATTGAACATAATAAATTCAGACTATTCTAAGGTCTGTTGGAAATGTAATGAAGAAATTGGCACGTATTCTCATATGTGGTGGGAGTGTAAATTCATTTAGAAATTTTGGGAATTGATTTTTAAGGAAATAAGTGATATATTTGGAAAAGATATCAAACTTAATTCTAAAATTGCTTTGCTGTCAGTTTTTGATAAGATAGAACTCGATTATTGCTCAAAGGAATTGATTTCTAATTTTATGATAAGTGATTCTATTCTATTCTATGCCAGCTAGTTCTATCCTCTCCTCAAAGATGTCCCACATTGTTAGAGGATTACACTGGCATCCCACTAGGGATGGGCTTTTTGTTTTTGAACAAAAGGGAAAAAGATGAAATAGGCTGGGTCCCCCCCGCCCCATTTTTGTATTCTTTTTTTGAATCCCAAAACAGAGGCTCTTAAGAAAAGGGGAGTACAGAAACATTTCATGTTCTTTCATGTTTCCCTCTTTCATTTTACCTTTCTTTCACTCATGGTCTGTTAAATTGCCTGGGAAATTTTTCTTCCAGCCAAACAGAATGTACGGGAGGGGGAGCAGTAATTCTGAACATGGAAGAGGGTCTGGATTCATTCAAGCCTAGTGAAGTTTCATTTTTCCCTTGTGAGTGTGTCAGTTCCTCACACGTTCCATCTTGTACTCCACTGCTTGGCTGCCTGCCTCTGTGCTTCTATCCTGAGATTTACTGCAACCCAATGTGTACATTTTTGTAGAGCTGGTTTGTGCATCCAGGTGTTCCTGCACCTTTCTCTCTGCCTATCCAAGAGAAGGATGGCTTACGTCTCCTGCATGACACTGTCCATGTTAAACCCTTATTAATACTCTTAAACACAGTTGCAGAATTCAGATTAATATGTAATCACCACTGGATGTCTGAGAAGGATTGAAGTCTTGTTCCACATGGTTCTTTTTTCAAAAAGCCCATTGTTTACAATTTCTTCAATGTTTGATTATCTTCCCAGAGTTGATATTTATTAATCCCAGTACTAGACTAATTCCATCATATTTCACTCAAAATTAACAGCTTTTAAATTGGCAGGGAAATGATTCCTGTGTCTACTTAGGGCACAGTCAGATGGCAATGTAGTGCTGTAATTATGCCAGCTTGTTAGTTAGCACATCTTTGAAACATACCTTCAGGGCTTTTTTAAAAATTATTTGTTAGTTTAGGTAATAGTGAGATTCAATGATACTGCACAACTCTAATCTGAATCACAGTATATTATTAAAGTTAGGAGTCTCCAAAATCTCCATTTCAGTCAGTTATTTAATATAAGTTCTTCAGCAGGTCTTCACTGCGATATTCCTCAGGTGAAACATCTTCCCAAAGGTGTGTGGGGAAGATATATTGCTGGACTACTGCGGATGAACTGGTATGCAATATGTGATAACAACAATGGCTGTATTTCCAGGTTTGTCATAAAATACTCTGCCTCTTCTTAAGTCTATATCCCTGAGAAAATTATGAGAATAATCTTACACTGTGTACCTGCCCAGTATACTTTTCATACCACTGAAAAAAACTATTAACATATTCTTTAGTTTCTTCCTTCCTTTCTTTTCAAAGGAAACTAACAGGGATATATGGGGATAATAATGAAAATGGCTTACATTACAAGGCTGATCATTAAGATAACTTATGTAAAGTACTGTGAAAACCTAGAAGCTAGAGGCTTACGACTGTTTATCATCTGGAGTTTGTGATCAGGTACACAGTTGTGCCAGATCCTATATTCATTTGTCACTATGTGGGGAGGGTGATGGATAGCTCTGTGTAAGTGAATCATGTAAACCATCTGAATCCTATGGCTTTGTACTCAGTACAGAGCAAAGCTGTCATAGGACGTCTAAATGTGGATATATGACAGGATATGGGAATTAGTGAAGTCTTGTTCCCATACTCTGACCACAGCTGTCCATTTCTAACTTTAAATTACAGGGAAGGTACACAGATGAAGAGATGTGCCCCTGCAGCCTTTTAACACTATCATAATTTTTCTTTGCTTGAAATAGATGGACTTCCATACTATCTTTCCATCCTGAGTCAGGATTCATTCCACACACACACACACTTTAATATCAAAACACTTAAAGAATTCATTATTCATTAATGCAGAGCTGAACTATTTAACCCAGCTTTTATTATGAAAATGTGGTTATCTATTTTTATGATTATCACAGCATAAAATACATTTTAAAATAACAACAAACTCCTGAAGCACAAAGGCAAGAATAGCAAAAAGATCCCAGTGATAATTAGCCCTTTGTAAAAAAAAAAAAGGGGGGGGGAGCTCTACAAGTAGCTTAAATAGAAAAGAAAAATAACATGTTTACTTACAATTGATTGTCAGTTACAATCAGAAGAGGAAAAGGAGGAAAAGAAAGAAATTTCAGCCTTTAACCATGACGGAGTCTCAGTCCACTACTGCAGCCACATGGTGGAGGGCAGGAGCAGAATTTTATATGTCTGTTCTCAGCAATGGTCAGAAAAGAAGAGGAAAGGGGCAAATAAACAATGGAAGAAAACAAACAAGAAGAGAGAGTGGGGGCTTGCCTCAAGTCCAGGAATGGGGCCTTTGCTAATTGGTTAGTGGAAAAGGCAAGCATTCCTTTAGGTCCTAAAAACCTACATTCCACTTATATCCAGTATTAAAAAGCATGAAAGGTTGTTTACTATCCCAACAGCTTAAGCTTCCATTTCTTGTGGAGTTTGCCTTTATAAAGGTGTGGGATGTGATATGCACCACTTGCTTGTGTGCATGTGTACAGAGGGAAAACTCTTTCCAAAGAGTGGCTACTCTTTTCCAGGGCCAATCACTGCATATTTGCAAGAGCATGGTGACTTTTCCAGAAGATGAAGGATTTATTTCTTCTCTTCATTCTGGAAAGGGAAGGAACAGTACAAAGTAGTTTTGTTGTGAATTAGCAGTTTCCCAAGAAGATGTTGCTTCATGGTATTGTACTGCAGGTGGAGAGTGGTTCCCTGCTATGCTTCATGATTGTTCTAGATCAGTGGTTCTTAACCTTCGTTACTCGGATGCTTTTGAACTGCAACTCCCAGAAACCCCAGTCAGAACAGCTGGTGGTGAAGGCTTCTGGGAGTTGCAGTCCCAAACTCCTCAGTAACCCAAGGTTATGAACCAGTGTTCTAGATCAGCGGTCCCCAACCTTTTTGGGACCGTGGACCATTGGGGGGATGAGCTCCATGCATGTGGGGTGTGTCACGCTCGTGGGTGGGTGTGACATGTCCCTCTGCAAGTGCAACACGCCCACCGTGCGTACATGTGGGGAGGTGGAGATCCATCTCTGGGGCTCAGTTGCAGGAAGCCCATTGACCGGCACCAGGCCACAGACCATGGGTTGAAAACCCTTGTTCTAGATGAATCACACAACCATCCTTGGTTTGGTCTATTTAGATTTGTTCATTTGTTGACAGACAGTGCACAGGCTGCTTATTTGCTATGGCTTGGATCCTAAGTTAAGGAAATCCGTGGAGAGGAAGTTTCCCATATCCCTCTGCCACAAGAAGGCCACACGCCACATCCTATATTATTCAGGAAGGCCTCTTGCAGACATTTTGAATGAATCCAGTGTGACAGTTTCTGCATATTAACTATCTTAGGATTCAAGCATATATACTTTATTTACTCAGATAAGGGAGAAATAGTTTCTTGTCAGGAAAACAAAAGACCACTATTAACATGAAGTTGAACTTCATTAACTTTACATAAGAAATGTGATTTATGACGATTGTCAAATTATTCCTTTAGTGCTGGGTTTGTTTTTTTTCCTTTCACTTCAGTGATGATGTGAAAAGAAAATTATAGACACATAATTTTATAAAATGTTTGCTACTCTTTGTATGTGTCTTTTTGATAGGTGCTAATAATAATAAGTTTGTTACAGTCATGTGGCCTGTTAAGATGCACATCAACCGACTTACACACAATAGAAAGAATAAAAGTTTTTTTAGAAGTAATGACAAGTTATCAAACATTTTCCAATAAGTAGGCCCTTCTCGTACAGCAAGTAAAAAGTTTGCAACTTGAGCAGTAACATAAGGATATGTACTCATATGTTTCCGATAGTATGGTGCTGTCTAGTGGAAAACACAGTGCTATCATCAGCTGTTAATTTTTTTCAGCAGCAGGAACCTTAGAAATATCTTATACCTTGCCTCTGTTGAACTAGGAGAAGGGCCTTCGCTGTTGTTGGAAGCAGACTTCTGAAGAAGCCATCTGTAAAATCTTTCTTCTTTGTCTTCTTCTGAAAGCTTTGCAAAAGCTCTCTTCAATTTCTTTAACCAACATTTTTTCTGGTTGCGCTGGAATTCTTTGTATCACAGATACATTTTGTTGCTGCTGCTGCTGCCACTAATGCTGAATTTCACAATTTGAGCCACCAAATAGACCAGCATACCTATGCCCTGAGCAGAAGGAGACACAGATGAAGTGAGATGGTGGTGGCACGATTGATGGGGATGTACATTTAGCTTTGGTTGTCCTTGTCATTATACAGTACACAAGAAATACATATTTTTAAAAAAGATATCAAGGTTATGTTGGTTGATCTCAGAAGCTTTTGTACATTTTCAAGCACTTTTGCACTTTCTATAATATGTGTATTATCATAAAATGTAGTGTTGCCTTCTTGCATGAAATTGCAAATGGAGTAGTATTGGATAGACTGCTTATGCCTTTTTAAGCAAACAGCCATCCCTTTGTCCTTGCTGTGTGTGTTTGGTGTCTGCAGGGAAAAGGCACTAATGTAATGCAAAATGCATTTAATGCAAAATGCAAGCATTTTGCACAGCATGCAAAATATTGTGTCCAAAAGGAGCTTCCTGTCCTGTTTGTATGCCGGAGACAAGAATCTAACAGAGGCTGAAGAACTGATGATGGGCTATCTCGTAGTGTTGAAACAGTCTGTTTCAGCCAACATTGTGACAACTGTGAGATTTTTTCCCCCACATGCCTAACTGCTGAGGCCAGAGGAGCCAATCAGGCTGCACTCACATTTAAGTGGTAGATCACGCTGGATGTGTACGGAAGTGGCAGCTTGCCTGTTGGATATATGTGGAACTGCTCAGAATCAGTCTTGTGTAAAAGGAAAGTAGTCTGCTGTAGCATTTAATTGTAGGATTGGCATTATAGATAGAAAAATGAGTTTGGGATTTCATGACAGCTTGCTTAGCTAAAAAAGAGAGAATGCATTCTGGCTAACAGAGAGAGAATGCATTCTGGCTAACACTGAGCTAGACCACAACATGCTATGTTCTGTATGCAATGTCATGAATCACGACCAACGCTAAACATCTCTTTGAGGTGTAGCTTCCAAAGATGTTTCCAAGGTTTGGCTGAGTGTTAAGAAAAATGCAGACCATCCATCCGGTGCTTTAGCTTCTCAAATAAAGCATTAATCATCCTAACTTTTTGCAATGCATACAATTCAGACTCCTCGTGAATTGCACAAAAATAGATTGTAGGAGCAGCCAGAAGGGGCAGTCCCAGTCGGCATTTTGCTTCAGCAGTAATAGGAGCAACACTGGGACCTCTTGTACCTCAGCTGATTGCTCTCCCTTGACAGCATGTCATTCACCAAAGATTCCTACGATATTTTCATGGATGGAAGGAAGGAGGATAAGTTGCCATTAGTAAAAACAAAAAGTTAAAAACAATAGGTGCCTCATGAAAATATCAACAGAAGCCCTGTGTGTGCCAGGACATCATTATTTATAGATACCAACAATGTATGTGGTTGCCTTACATGATTCTCTTCTCCATGTTTTACCTTCCCTCCCAACAACCCTGTTAGGTAGGTTTGACATCCAGTTGGAACAAGGATGCCAAGTATGCTTTTTGACTACCATCCCAAGTCCAACTCTCTTAATCCTTCAGTGGCTGTCTTAGGTCAGAGGCTATTCTATAAATAATGCCAAGGCAGAAATCTACTGGTAGAAAAAAAATGCAAGAATTAAGGTACAGTGGTGCCTTGAATAGCGATGTTAATGCATTCCACAAAAAACATCGCTATTGGATTTCCTCGCTAGTCGAAATGAGGTTTCCCATTGAAATGCATTGAAAGCCGGCTAATCCGCTCCAATTGGAACGAATTGCCGTCGTTAATGGAAAATCTCCATAGGAAACCTCGCTATTCCGCGGTTCCTCAATTGAAATGCATTGAAACCTATTCAATGCATCTCAATGGGGGGGAAGAATCAACAACAAATTAAAAAAGAGTCAGAACAAGGTCAAATTGGGTTAACAAAGGGTTTATTCAGTGCACTTTGCAATCTCCAACCTTTCAAACAGGAAACTTTAACTTTAAACCCTTTAAAAATAGTGAACACAAACCACAGTTCCCCTATTCAATGCATCTCAATGGGGGGGGGAGATCGCTATTCGATAATCACCCATAGGAAAAATTGCCATTCAAAGTGAAAAAATGCTCCGAAAACCACATCGCTATTTGGTTTTTTCGTTAATAGAGGCGCTCGCTATTCGAGGCACCACTGTATTTATTTTGAATAACATGTAAATTTGCATATTATGCAAATTGGTTTACCTGAATCAGGAGACCTGGAGACCTTAGCCCAAAGTCCAAGCACATTTCAATGCATGTGGCTATTATGTGCATAAGCAACTTTGGCACACCTTCACAGTGGGGACGCAGACATTCTCCTTCATCAGCTGAGCCTTCAGGAAAGGATTATAGCCAGTATCGGTAAAACAAGGCTGCAAACAATGACATGACATCAGCCTTCTGAAGCGTTACAAAGGTGGGTTTTTAAAAAAGATGTGAAAAGCTGTTCACTCTGGATATAAATGGAGTTGTTCACTCCACTTGTAAATGCTCCATTGCCTGCATGGCACCATTGAATTGTTCATACAATAATGGGGTGGCTTTGCTCTAGCAAGCTTGTTGTGATACTTTTCATTTGGCCATTGTGATTCTTTAGAAGGGAAAGTGTGTTTTCTGATCATTACCTTAAATTTGCCTTTTTTAAAAAGCCTGATGCTCCCTCTTCAGCCCTATATTAAGAGAGAGCGAGAGAGAGAGAGATGAATAGCATTCTGCCATTATAGACAGAAACATCATAAAGGGGAGTAAGTTGTATGGCATACACTTAGAAAATGGCTCAGTGGATAGATCTGAACCTTGGCAGCATTGGAGTGGTGGATTTAAGGGTAGTTTGTACTAGCTTTGAGGCACAAAGCTTGTGAAATTGTTTATTTAGAGGAGTTTAAATTGTGGTGGGTGATTTCAAGCAGCTTGATAGTTTTTGTCAGGATATTCTTAGAATGAACCTGTGTTGTGCAGCAACAGTTTAAGATTTTGTTTTGGTTGGTTTGTTTTTAAAGTGGGTGCAGTAGGCGCTGCTGTGCCTGCGGCAGTGGCCGAACAATGAGTAAACAGACCATTATAGTGGTGCTTCGCAAGACAAATTTAATTTGTTCCGCGGTTAATGTTGTCTTGTGAAAAATTGTCTTGCGAATCATGTTTTTCCATAGGAATGCACTGAAATCTAATTAATGCGTTCCTATGGGCAAAAAAAGTCAGAACAAAGTCAAATTTGGTTTACAAAGGGTTTAAGTGCTCTTTAAAGCCATACATATTGTGCAGATGATTTTAAAATTTTCAATAAAAAAAAGTTAACTTTTTTAACATCATGGAAAAACGTTTAAAAATCAGCAAACATGAGGCAGGAACAAAAAATGGAAAACATTTGTCTTGCGAAGCACAGCCATAGGAACATTTGTCTTGTGAGTCATTAAGCCCCCATTGCCAAAACCATTTGTCTTGCACGTTTTTTGTCCTGTGAGGCATTTGTCTTGCGAGGCACCACTGTATTTCCACCTGCAGGGGGATATTTGTATTTGTCTACAAATACGAATATCCCCCATCTCTATTTTACATCAGCAGTCAATAAAGCCAAAGCTTATTGTTTATTTGAATGACCTCCAGAGACTGGAAAAGGATGTGGAGTGTGTCCCATCTTTCATTCTGTTGCTTAAGAGAGAAGCCTGTTTTACTTTAAGAAGTGTCTGAAGTCATCTGATGAGGCTGATTCTACTTTAACTTCTAAATTTGAACAAAACAGGAATGCATCATTAAGAAGTGTAACCCAACTTCAATAGTACCCTAAAGATGAAAAACCATATGCCGATGTGATAATGGTTGTCAATGTCCAATGACATGTGGTAACTTTTTCTTCTTCTTTGTCTAGAGAATTCAGAATTATCCTGTGTCTGTGAGGGGAATCAGGTATTATACCAAATTGCTTCAGCAGCTACCTACACTTTTATTAGCTGCACATGAAGATTCCCTTGTATATTACGACAACAAATCATGGCGATCCTACCTTGATGTTGGGGCACTCACTACCTTGGTGCATGCGCTCGTAATCTCAAGATTAGACCACTGTAATGCGCTCTACGTGGGGCTACCTTTGAGGCTGCTGCGGAAACTACAGGTGGTGCAGAATGCAGCGGCCAGATTACTCAGTGGAGTGTGAAGATACCAACATATTTCACCCACTCTGGCTGCACTGCATTGGCTGCCCATCCGATTCCGCACCAACTTCAAAGTGTTGACGCTCACGTACAAAGCCCTAAATGGTTTAGGACCCCGATACTTGGCGGAACGCCTTCTCCCACCATGATCTACCCGTGTCACTCGCGCGAGCCAGGAGGTGAGACTGAGGAGCCTAACGCCGAGGGAGGCCCGGAAGGAAAAGACTAGAAATCGGGCCTTCTCGGCGGTGGCTCCTCATCTCTGAAACAACCTACCCCCTGAGATTCGCACGGGTCCCTCGCTGGGTATTTTTAAGAAACAAATAAAACATGGATGTTTAGGCAGGCCTTCCCAACAGATAACTCCTGATGACTTTTCCCTTCTCCTATAGCTCTCCCATTTTGTTTAGTATTTTTTTGTTATGTAAAATGGTTATATGTATATTATTGTATTATTTTTATGTTATTAGCTGCCTAGAGTGGTCCTAACACGACCAGGTAGGCGGGATATAAATAAATAAATAAATAAATAGATAAATAAATAAATAAATAAATAAATAAATAAATGGTGACATCATCAAAATGAAAATAAATTGTGACAACAGGAACTAGTTAAGTGAGTTTTATCCTTTTTTGTTAACTAGAAGATTAGAGGACTGTCCTGATTCTCAAGCTTTACCATATATTACTAGTTTCACTCTTTTAAAGAGATTGCAGTTGAATGTATCTTGTCATCTCCACGGAGCTCAGCAGGGTGAAAAAACTTCAGGCCATGGTCCATATATGTAGTCAAGATCCTGGGATTATAGGAGCCAAGGAGCTTAGTGGAAAATATATCACTCACCTAGATGCCTCTGGGAGAAAAGCAGTTGAGGAGGAAGAAACACTGGATATTGCCAACAGTGATGAAAGTGATTTTGAAAATGATGACAATGATGAGATTGTTGAAGCAGACCAAGATATTCTCCAGGAAATGGGAGATGAGAATATGACTAACCAGTGAGATGTTGGATCAAGCTGAAGAAAAAAGGGAAGAAGCATTTGATGCTATAGATAAAGATGACCTCCAAAAAGCCACTGAGTTGTTTACAGATGCCATCAAGTTGAATCCCCAGTCCCATGTCACATATGCGAACTGAGCAAGCATTTTTGTGAAACTGAAGAAACCAAATGCTGCCATCAGAGACTGCAAAAAGGCCTCCAAGCTCAACCATAAATCTGCCCAGTGCTATAAGTGGCAAGGGAAGGCCCACATGTTCCTGGGGCAGTTGGAGAAAGCTGTGGAGGACTTCACAATGGCTTACAAAATTGATTGTGATGAAGAAACTAGTGTTTTGCTTCAAATGGTGTTACTCAAAGTTCAGAGAAACATGGAGCATCATCAAAAATAGGAGCAAAAGTAAGAATTAAAGAAGATTCGAGTGTGTGTGTATGTCTCCAGCTGTCAGACTGCCCATGCCTTCCTTAAAAAATCCACACCAAAAAAGGGGGAATCACACTTAAAGAGTACCAATCATATTTCAAAGAGATTGCAAATAGGTTGCTGTTCTTTACTCCAAATTACTAATTTCATTTCCAGATGTGGAAGTGGACCCTTGATCACATCTTGTTTCTTTCTCAATTTGGAGGATTTGGGCTATTTGTTTAGCCTCTGGATGATCCCTGGGCCAGAAATCTGCCTCAAAGATATGTCTAAGTTCAAGGCCCTATGGGAATATGGCTGTGATGCCAGTTGGGGTACAAAGTGTTTGTGCATGTTTGTGAATATGAATGAAGCTATTAGTTCTGGCTATTTTACCTGGTACTGGAATGCTCATATTGCTTTACTTTTCAGAAATCTCCCCACTTCGGTCTCATCAATATTCATGTAAGCAAAGCAGCAACAGAGAGGGTACAGCTAAAATGCTCCCCTCCTCGAGTGTTTCAATTAATCCAAAGAGGGATTTTGTCCAGACTGAAACTAATCAAATAAAGATAATAATTTCTAATTTAAATCACTTTGCTTTTAATTGACTTTAGTTACAACAAACTTTAGGTGGATTTAATGATGTTTGAGGAAGTTCATATTTCTGAAATTTGATAAGAAATAAGCTGCTTCTCAATTTATTCTCGAAGGCTTTCACGGCTGGGATCTGATGGTTGTTGTGGTTGTTCTTCCTGATGTTTCACCAGTCGCTGTGGCCAGCATCTTCAGAGGACTGGAGTAAGAACTCTGTCCGTGCTCTGTTGCTGTTTGTTGGATAGTTGAGTACCGTATTTTTCGCTCCATAAGATGCACCTTTCCATAAGACGCACCTCATTTTTAGGGGAGGAAAACAGGAAAAATATTCTGGCAATTTCATGAGGCAGTAGGAATAGATAGATGTTGTCACATCAATTACCTCAAACTTCTTGCAGTGTACAACATACCGTGAGCTTTTGAACAATTTGTAGTTGGCAAAGTTATTCCAATAGCCACAACCACACTACAATGCTTTATATCAACCACCAAGGAGGAACAATATCCATGTCTTTCTTGCTACTAACAATACAGTTTGGGGACTGGTGTATTATCAAGCATGTCATTTCACAAGTCATACATGTACCAGAAGTGGAGAATTATGAAGCAGACTTCTACAGCAGGAAGATGACACACAATGAGTGGGAATTACCATCTCAAGTTTCCACACTTATAATGAATTGTTATTGTACTGAAAGAGATGAATAAACAGATTGTTGCTGGGTAGTCAATAAGAGCTATGATGAAGAAATCACTGGACTATCCAGCAGTTCTATCCAGCAGTTTCTTTCTTCTGTTGTTCCATGGTAGCAGCTGGCAGTTCCTGCTGGCAGACTCTTTCACCAGCCACCATTGGGCCAAGGTCTTGGCATCTGATGGTAAGGTGGAGGATCTCAGTGGTGCCAAGGGCCATTTTTCAACACTGCAGACAACTTGAGAGCTACCCTTCTGAGGGGATGTGGCTAAAGAGAGAAAGGCCATGTCCACAGCAAATTGCATATTTAATTTGTATTATTATTTTAAATTGAGTGTTATCTCCTATTGAAGTCATCATAATGGGTTTTTATTAACAGAAATAAATAGGCTAATGTGAAAATGTTTAAAATCTGAAAAAGTCCCCCTTTCCCTCTTGCGATCCAAAAACTTATTTTATTTGTTTTAAAATGGAAGGCATTAAGCAGAGGAGCCCCCTCAAAATATGGAAAAATTGCACTCCCCACTACCTAGATATTTTGAGCATTTTTAAAAAAAGTTCAACTTATGGGGCAGGAAAGCTGAGCAATGCAAAAATGACTGTAGGGATCATGTGAATCCCATCAGCTGCATGAGTTGAACCTCCTGGAAGGCACACTCGGACCCTTTGGAGGCTCCTCCGCCCCCCTTTGGGGCCAGCAGGGGCGAAATCACGACTTTCCAGGACCCTTTTGAGGCCATTTTGCTGATGCTGAACAGCAAATTTGCATAGAACTTCCAACTGCTGGTTTGAATAGGAACAGATTCACATATAGGTCAGTTCATATGATAAGAGGTTCAACTCATGCAGCTGATGGGATTCTCCGCCCCCCTTTGGGGCCAGCAGGGGCGAAATCACGACTTTCCAGGACCCTTTTGAGGCCATTTTGCTGATGCTGAACAGCAAATTTGCATAGAACTTCCAACTGCTGGTTTGAATAGGAACAGATTCACATATAGGTCAGTTCATATGATAAGAGGTTCAACTCATGCAGCTGATGGGATTCATATGGGATTCATATGGTCCCTACAGTTATTTTTCCAAGCCTCAGAAGGGTCCTGGAAGGTCACGATTTCACCCCCGCTGGCCCCGTGGGGGTGGGTGGGGGG